GATCCCGACAACACGGGGCAATTTTGTACCGGATTTCGAAACCGGACTCGATGCATCCACTCGGTCATCGGATTTATTATAGCGGTGACGTTACGATCTCTTTTCCCGTATCACTTCGTATTATAATTTATTAAACGGAGTCATCTCGCCCAGCTCGGCGAATGCGCCGAACAAGATCGAGGCGAGGTGCGCGAAAACATTCGGGAAGATCAAAATCAAAATTCGTTGCGTTTCCAAAATGGCCGCCGGGAGACGCGCCGAGGTCGGAGAGGAACGCCTCTCGTTCTGCCAACTTTCCGAGTCTTTCGATGATCATATTCAAACGTTTTGTACATGTTTATTGAAAGCTGTCTTCATTTTCGAGAAGGAAAGAAGAAATTCTTGCCCGACTCTAAAGTTAACGAACGATCTCGTCGCGCTCTCGGCGGCTCAAAAAATGGCGACTCGACGTATCCTGTAAATGCGAGAAAAAGTGACTTAAAAAGTTAACGGCGGAAATGAATAACGACGATGCGTCTCCTTTTCGGCCAGGCGAGAACGCACGGAAAGTTTTAGATAGGCTAAATTAAATCCAAAGGAAAATCGGATGATCACTTAGGAAATTGATAATTGAGGTAAATTTCGAGGGCGCATGCGCGCGGATCTGCGAACTTGGTTTCGTTAAAATAAGGTTTTGCGTCTGTACTTAGAGATACACGTATACTCTGTGATATGAAGCAATGTGTTCTATGATTTCACGTGCAGCCATCTTGATTTCGAGGTGTCAGGAGGGAAGAGGAGGTAAAATAAAAAAAAATAGAAATACAGCGACGCCCCACCCGGCGTCGCTAGGATGTTACGCATACATATAAATATATATAAATATAAATATATATATATATACACATATAGGAATTCTTTTTACCGAGTCAATCAACAATTTACTAGCGAATCTTTACGAGCGATTACATCGCGTACAAGAGCCACCTGGCTGGATTGCTGATGATCAATGCTTGAGAATGTCCCGATGTTCGTGCGCCAATTGTTGCTTGCATAAAACCGTCGATGTTTCGTTTTTCATCGAGCGAATATTTTACAGGCGACCGTTGTACAGTTTTAAACAATCTTTTGTCTCGAGAGAGGGTCGCGCGTTATCCGTCGAAGGCTGTTAAACCGCCTCGATGGAGTTTTTTAATAATTAGATGATACAGCGAGGTATATCTTTATTTACATCATAATTGTATCGTATCAATTATGCGATGTTATATGCGTAGCAAGGCATAAGGTGGTTTAAAGACGGAACTTTGTTACGTCCGCAACGAGAAAAGCTGTCCAGCGTACGTATATGATATGCAAAAGTGAGGATAGTTGTACAGACGGCGGACGTCATCTTGGCGCTGCAAACGAGGTAACGATAAAAAAGAAAGGAAACAAAATGTTTAAACATATCCGCCCACGAATCGACGTCGGCTTGCCGTATAACTTTGCTTAATTTATTTTTATCCCACGCGGTAACGTCCCGGTATCGGAAAAGATAGAAAATGATCGTCTAAGAGAAGGCGGAAAATGGCTGCGAACCCGATCGAGCGCGTAGGGGCTGGAGGGACATTTTCGAGCATTTCGCAGGGCTCGAAGTCGCCTCTTAGAGGCACTTTAAGCCAGCAATAGACTCGCTGGAAAGTATCCAAGTTGTCCCGTTTTACGTCGGCAACTTCGGATACCTTCCGGTGACCCGTGACACGCGTGCTCGAAATCCGCAATTCGCGTATTTACAATCCGCGAGCTGGGGCGGATCGAAGAAGTCTCGTTTCTTAATGCCAAGTGATGGCGACTTGTGCAGAAAAACTCGTTGAAATTGTGACGATTCAATATTTTCTTTCGCGTAACCATCCGTCTATAGTCTCCGTGTCGCGATCGCGTCGAATCCTGGCACCACGGCTTCCTCTACCTCGCCGATCGTTCCCACGATTACGGTCTCGGAACCGCGAGTCTCACGGCTTTATTTTCGGTTTCGACTCGAAGCCGCGAACGGAGCAATTGCTAATCGCTCAATAAAAGCGGAATCCCGTTGGGGAAACGGGGAGAAAGAGGGTAGAATCGGTAAGCGGATTTCTCGCGACGTTCCGCCCCGGCTCGCGGAACTTAACGAGAGAGAATTTAAGAGGGGGGAAAAACGATACGAAAGAGGCTTTTTCAAGCGTCTTACGTCCCACCGAACAATACGTACTTCATTGTGACTTATAGGGAAGATACGGAATGAAATACCTCCGCTCGAGCGATCGAATTATAAGGGTCCCTTCGGCGCGAAACCGATCGCGATTTTTCGCGACTTTTCGCGACTTTTCGCGGGGGAAAGGGAGAGGGGCAAGTGAATCCTGCTGACGTTTTCTCCGACACGTAGAGATCGTTCGAACCGGGCCCCAGTTTTCCGATTTTCATTCATCTTTTCTATGTTTTTCCCCCGACAGTTTCGAAACCTGGGGCCCGCTCGACCGAATTCCGGCGAAATTCATCTTTAGAGATATTTAGTGGCACGTAAGGGTAGTTGAATTTTACGGGAGGGTGGGGGAAGTTTGAGTCTCCCGGAAACGGAAGTGCCCTCTTTAAGGACCTTCTCGAACTTCCGGTCATTTCGAGGGGTGTGCAGATTTGGTTGACAACGATCTCGGAGGGTAAGAGGAAAAAAATGAAAGGGAAAATGGAACGCACGAGGAATGGGAAAACTTGAAAATGAATTTCGGAGCTCTCGAGGAAGGCAACGCGCAGACACGTCCGCAAGAGACTGACAATCTCTGCTCCGTTCTCTATTGTCGTTAATAGTTCTTAATTAATAATAATCTCTCGCCAGAAAGAAAATATGTACTTGTATACTGTACACAGTTTACCCGCGCACATACTGACATATGCTGATTTCTCGCGTACGTATCCCGACGTTGACCGATGTGCGAGCGACGACATGCCGCACGTCGAAACCGATTTAACTGCGTTTGTTACATGCATATTGTTATTATTACCACATAAGAGCAATTAACTCCGCAGCCTGGGCTATGTCGGCCGTTTCGAAAGTGTCGGACAAGATTAGGGCAAACGAGGGGGAGAGAGTATGCAAGTCGCGCCTCCCCGACGTCGGAACGATGTTACGCGTTAAAAAAAAAAAAAAAGGAAAGAAAGCGTTATATATTTATGTTTATTTAATTTACTGCCAAGCGCAGATATTTCCGGCATCTCTCGGAGCTGGTCAACGAGAGCTCTGGGAGTGGATTTTCGATTCACGGCAAGGTAACTGATTTCGAAAAATTGACGTCTGAAATTGTTCAACTTTTCACGTAGAATTCTAGAAAGGGACTTCTTTCTGTCGAGGAAAATGTTTCCAAGAGTTTCGTTTAGAAGGATTTTTGGAGAATCATGGAATAATATCAGGCTTCATCGAAGGTCCCACGTCGGGGAGGAGGGAAAGCCATCGAACAGGGATTAATAATGAAAACCGCGAAAATGCGGGAAAATCCGAGTGCCGAGGAACGGCCGCGGCCCTTAAGTACTACGAAGCCTGTAATCGAAATGTTTTCTATTTTTACACCGAACAAACAGTATATTAACGTACAATAAACAATGAACATGTCCTTCCAAGCGCAACCTCATGATGACAAATGTTATATTTTTATTTTTACAATAACCCAATATCTCACCGCCGATATCCGATATAATATTCCCAGAACGATATTGATAACAGTGACGTATAGCGAGACCCGCGTTATAGAGTACTTCTTAAAAACAGAGGATAAAAAGAGAAATAATTGAGGAGTAATAAATCCGTGATAGCCTTCGATCGACGAAGGAACCATCGATGCAATAAAGCGAGGGGACAAAATTCTTCGGGAGAAATTACTTCCATTTGAAAAAAGGCGAAAAAGAAATAGAAAACACAGAGAGAGGGAGAGAGGGAGGCCCGTCTTGTTCTTTGGCGAATATCAGTTGGATACTTCACTTTTGAGGCAATCATTTTCGAGTTATCACGTCTAGGGGATTCGTTGTCGGGCCGAAAATCAAAAATGCGAGGAATTTATTACCGCGACGGGTGGAAGGGTGGTAGACAGGGGGGAATTCATGTAAAGTGAACCTAGATCAGTAGAGAGAGAGACGAGATAGAAGTCCAGTGACTGCATCACTTTTCGATATCGTAAGCCGATCGTTTTAATCCATAAGTGAGATGTACATATGTATGTATTATATTAGGTATATGTATACAGGGGTTTCCATGTATGAGGCTTCGAGTAGATTTTCAGGGATTTCTGTTTTTTTAATGTATGAAGAAGCATTGTCGGATCTTGTTCGTTATTCCGTAATTTCTTAACTGTTACTCGAGCCAGTAATCTTTTCCTTTTCCTTCGCGTCATTTATTCTGCAATTCCTGAGCTGGGCACATTGTTGGGTTCTCTGATAAAATTGTAGGAAGCTCAGTTTTGTATCGTCCATTAAAGTTAGTCGTCAAAATTGGAGACGGGTGTACCAGAAATTGACGATGCTTCTCGTGATTCGATTGGTTTTTCTTTGAAAAGGCATCGAGATCAAACTTTTAGGAACGAGTGTAAAAAAAAACAACGTATACAATATATGGCCGAGGCTCGCCTGGAAACTCTTGTATATCAAAAAGAAAACTGTGTCCATGCAAAATCGATGAGTGTTTTATGTGTACTAAAATGTTCCCTTTTATTCCTACTAAGACTTCAAAAATATTAAGTATTATACTTTACTTGTATATAAATATGTGATAAATATAAATATATATATCTATATACACGTCGGCCTACGTCATCGCGTCATTTCACTGGCTTTCCGAACTTCATTAACTCCGCATTTATTCCACGTTCATACGAAATTTTTCATTTCACCCAGGGACAAGGTACGTATGCGATATTTACATGGCGGATGAAATGTAATCAAGGCAGGGAGAGAAATAGCGGTAATGATTCAGGGACGTGGTACATGAAAACGCAATGTTTAAGTAAACTGAGGAACGAGCGCTCGTTTAAATCCGTACTAAAATGTATTTCCGGTAGAAAAATTGTTAACCAGTCCATTTTATATTCGTCTCAACATATCGTTAGAATATCGGAGCAATACCGGCGCAAACGTATGTACATCAATTGGCAATAGATAACGAGCTAATAAATACGGAATGATATATAGAGAGAGGATGCTCAATCTTATTGCACCGGCACGACGCATAAGGCATTGTTCCAAGGCCTGCCAGATAGAGTGCAAAATTCGCAGACTTCCTTCCAAACTCCAAACGTCAAGTAGCGTTCGACTCCGAAATTCCACTGATACTGGGTAGAGAGCTGTCGCTCCAATCCGGTTGTGGAAAGTGCCTGAGAGGACTCGGAATGTTAACAGGGAATTTACTTTGTTGTCTGATGTCTTTGAACATGTTTTGCAGTTGTTTGATGTTAACGTCTATAGGCTCGGCAGGGGGTACTCTGAGCATCTTTGTGCTTATCTTCTTTGAGGGCAGCTCCTTCGACAACTGGCGCTTCTTTTCCGCGTCGAATGACCTGTGCAGTCTGGAAAGACTCTTCAGACCGTTCCTCTTGCTATTGTTTTTAATCTCGTGCTCCGAATGCCGCTCGGGAGGCTTTTCGGCTTCTTCTTCGGGACGACGCCAATGGTCGTCCTTCGCCTCCTCCTTCTGCCGTTCCTCGTCGCTGAATCCTTTGAAACACAAAACATATTTTTAGGAATAGGCGTCAGATGGTCGTTCTTGGAAATTGCACGGATCTCTACCCGTCAGGTCTTGACATTCGTTCTTGTCCTCCCTGATTGTCGACGAGATGGTCTGCGAGGTCTCGCCACAAGGTAAACTGACAAACTCTAGTTGGACGTTAGAATCTTTAGCCCTGTTCTTCCCACCGTCGTCCACGGTGTCTTCGGCGATAGGTTTATCTTTGGCAAAGGATGACTTCCTTGGACGTTCACTTTGACAGGAATTTTCAATTGTGGATATGGAGACTTCGGACATACCCTGGCACGAGCCAAGTATGATAGACCTTTCCGAGGAAGTTGGAGTTGGAGAAGAACAGGCCAGACCTCCATGGACCAGCGATATCTGAACGTTGGATTCTTCGACGCGTTTATATGCATCTCGCATGCCCAACAACTGGTCCGAAATGTGTCTTTGCAGCTCTCTGAAATAAATTTAATTGCACGATAATTATAGACCGTCCATCGTAGCAAATGGATCGAACGGTTTTGCCTCACTTGATAGCAGATCGGAGCTCATCGAGTTGAGAATCCTTGTACGACGACATCATCAGAAGCTTCTCCTGTTCAAGTTTTAGGTACTGCGTCTCCATGAATCTTTGTTCCGCCAGCTCAGTTTTTTCATTGAGCTCCGTTCTCAGTTCCTGGGCCACCTTTTGCAGCAGTTCGATCCTCTTGTTTTCTGCTCGCAACTCAGTGATGGTTTTCTCGTTGGTCTCTGTGGCTTTGTTTGCCGCACCAAGCTGCGTCCTGAGACTCGAGATCACGGTTTCCAACTCTGCTTCCCTTTGACGTGCCTCTTCCAAGTACTGCTTTTGCTTCTGAACCTGCCTGTGTTCAATGTAGAGCTCTTAATTATTTTATTTCATACAAGAACTATGTTCGATTGCGCCTTAAGTCTTACGTACTGTTGTAAAGAGTTTACTTGCTCTCGCAATGATTTGCAAGTGATGTCCATCTGCTGACATTTTGCTTCGACTCTGCCCGTGATCGTCGCCAATTCTGTACGCAGAGCAATTTCTTCCAAGTTCTGAATTCATTTTAAATATTTCAGTTGCTTTATACTGTGTATAAGTTCTGGTGTGAATGTAGTGTTTTAGAACAAAAACGACACTCACAGCTGTGGCAGGTTTCCCTTGATCGATCGGTATCCACAAGAGCGCTTGCTGCATGTCGGCAAGGATTTTGCTGGTCTTCTCGTTCCCGATTAAACGTTCCAATTCTTTCATTAAGATCTCGAGGGTGCGTACTGGATTAAATACGCCATATCGATCATTTTGGCAATCGGACACTCTCCCACATTGGATCCCTCGGTCGACCACAATGAGTGCCTCCGAGCTCGAGATCAATGACCTGCTCGATGGAACTGCCGAGTTTGGGGCCGTTTTTAACAGTTCTTCGGATTTCTTCTGAGAAGGCGCGTGTTTCGTAGGAGGTTCATTTGAGCGCTTCTTGTGACAGAAAATATAATTCAAATTACACTCGTTAACGCGTTGAATGTAAATTAAATCATTTTTGTACGTCGCAAAGTGTACCTGCAGTTTCCGGTTATCTCTGCTCTTACTCCCTTCCTTGGACTCGACGCTACTATGTCGGGACAACTTGCAGGCTTGCGTTCGCGCAGCGAACTGCTGTATACCCTTCTTCATGGTAGATCGATTCTGCTCGGGCAGTACTTTACTCCAGTTTTGAATTTCTCCGCTTACGTGCCTTTTTTTCTTTTCTACAGCTCTCTGGCCCACAGAGGTACCACCGATCATCTCTGAGCTGCGCTTTCGTTTCTCTGTTGTGAAAGTGATTTCCACCTTGTACTGCAATTAGGAAATAGGAGGAACCCTTTCGAAGGCTTAGCGGTAACAATCTTTGGTCTATTACCTCACATTTACAAGCCTAAGCGCTTAGTTGAAACAATATTTAAATTCAAACTTAACTAACATTTAAAAATCTTTCACCAGTCATAAGAAATCGATAACGAGATCTAGTCAACTTTGGCTCGGGTAAACTTTCTCTGGGTTATGATAATATAATGTATTTATTAAGTTAACTTAAAACCTCCTTTTTAGATGACTTCGATGTTAGCATCGACAATTGCTCCATTAAATTTGTTTTATTTCCTGCCGGTACTAAATTGCACGTTCCATTTGTCTTGCTGCTCATCTTCCTGAAAACAACAGGATTCTATTATTTACATAATTAATCACTGACAATCGGCGACTAATTCATAGAAAACAGACAGGGGCCCATCAAAAGTCCTGTATAATGTAAAGACTTAGAGAACCGTGGTACTTGTAGCAAGTGTACCTAGAGCTACAATATTTCTCTTCCCCTTATGACAAAATTTAAATCAGTGAAAAAAAGCCTTGAAGAAGTGTAATGAGAATACGCCTTTTGTAATGTAAACATCCAGCCAGGCGAATGGAAACATCTGGTACTGCCAACGGTAACCTAACCTCATTTAAAAAAATTCAGTGTGACCTTCAACGATTCTGTAAGGATATCCGACATACCGCAAGACATAGACGACAGGATGCACATATCTCTCTTCTCATTTGTATTTTCTACTCTTTTCCGTCAGTAGTTTTTAATATCGGCGGAAACCCACTTTCCGGACACAGAACAAAAATATGCAAAAGCATGGAACTGTATACACATTGATCAAATAAGGACAGAGATGAATTGGGAGGTTATTCGTGGGCAGGGTCCTGCGATCGCGTTCTGTGCTGCCTTCAGTGGAGAATGCAGGCGGCTAACGCACTTGACCTCAATGACGGCCAACTCAGGGATTTACCTCCTGCCTTGAACGAAGCGGTCGGTAAACGACCTCTTACCTTACAGTTTCTGCCATCAACCGCTAGATGGTAGGTCAATCGCGACGTTTAAACCGCTGCTACCGTAACGGACGCTCCGCGCTTTGAATTAGTTTTTCGGATGTTCGGTCATTGATTTAAACGTTCCCGACAGTGCAGTTTGAAAATTAATGTGACACAAACCACCAGGTGCGTTATACCAACGATTACTTCATCTTTTGAGCTAGTTATGCCAATTTGCATTCGGGAGTCCCAACGGCAGCCATCTTGCGTCGAACTCGTTCGACAGGGAAGGAAATGAAGCACCCAGACAATTAGGCGAAAGAAGTTCCGACGTATATTACAGAGAATAGTCGCCAGTAATGCAGGATTTACTTGTATTTCGCGAATACAATAATTAACCTCCTCGCAAACGTACGTACATACACGTCGCATCGCGATTTCCGCGATTTCCACGCTTTCCATCCCTCGTCTCTCGCTCCGGGTTGACTTCCCGAGCAACATCGTGAGAATGTCACATTTCGCGCGAAATTACGCCACTTACGTGTACTGACTACCCTTTCGTGTAATTACAGCTACCCCGAGACATCTCTATTAACATTTCCTTCGCGTTCTTTGGCTTTGTAAACTACAAATGACTGACCCCTCCGCGTGTCATGGCTGTGCTCGATTTTCCATATTTCACGTTACTCACGAAACTCGATGCGCCCCCGAAATAAAATAAGGACTCCCCGTCTCCGAGTTTTCGTCATCTACAGCTTGACAAAAAAAATCAGCGGGCCCCTTTTTTGCGAAATTAACGAACCCAGGGAAATTGCGCGAAAAAGGAAAATCAGGGGGAATCCTCTCGGCGGGAGTTTAATCGGCGAGTAATTATCGCGGAAAATCGGAAAAACAAACGGCAAAACCCGTTCCCATCGGTCGGCCATTATTCGGCGTAATTGTTTAACGGAATAAACGGAAAGGAGCGAACGGAAACTGAATGACGCCCTTTCGGACCGGAAGTGCAAAAGCCGCGGAATTCGGCATTAATGATAATCGCATATGATTTACTACGTGGCAATTGCTCGCTCGGTTCCATTTTCTATCTTCTCCTTATCAATAATCACTGCCTCCTGCGAGATATGCGGCGTGCACTTTTCGACACCCTCCGAGGCGCTTCTACATTTTTACACATTTTTACAGAAATCGCTGGCTGGCCTCGTCAACGATCGTCGCAACGATGATAGTCTCTTATCGACCGATAAAGCACATGGTGGCTGCATTTACAAGACGCGATTGCATGTACAGAGTCGCGGGCATGTACAGGTATATTACCTTTCTTTCTACTTGTTTAATTAGTAGGTGCAAGAGAACACTGTTTAACGAGCACGCTTTCGTGCTCCTCACACTCATTCGCAGCTTCCGATATCGAGGACTTAGACCCTTTCCTTTCGAGTCCCGCATCGGAAGTGAAAATAAATAATTGTACATTACAAGTAATAATATCAACTGTGGCGACGGTGACAGTGACAATGACAGTGGGTCGTGACAATGATAATACTCTCAGTGACGATAACGCCGCTGGTTATCATTTGCCCCTAAAGGTGCGTGGCCTTCGAGATTTATACAAGATTACGAGGTCTTAAGGTCAAATTTATTTGACAATTGACAACGCATTCTAGACCGAACCTTAAGATCCTCCTAAAAAAAAAAGTGCACCGAAGATCACCAGGCCTTAAGGGTCAAACTCCTTATCAACGACTTCTCGTTATACCGTAATATCAATATTCTCAATAGTATCCATAATAATATAATACGGGCTTAACCGGCCCTTCCTTACGCGCGTGCATAAATAATATATAGACTTCGGTACCGTGGCTATTTATATTAATATTAAATTAAATACGATCACTTCGGGCGACGCGCGGAAACAGAGATTGAGATAGGCGAAGAGAGAGAGAGAGAGAAAAAATGAGAGACTCAGAGAAGAACTCGTTCTTTGCGCGGATTTTCCGGTGTCCACTTTTCTCCTTTCTTTCTCCTTCCCTTCGATCCGAGCCGATCGATTAATCGATCGATCGGGTGCGACGCAACGGCGAGCGGGCGTTAACGGGAATTAGCTGCTAGCACTTTTTTTTTTTTCAAGGCCCTTTAAACAACTCCTGGACGTGTTATTTTCCGAGACATTTACAGTCAATAATCGAAAATTACTCCTCGCTTTTCGATAGATTTGAGACGCGAGATTGATATCGGCAAATCAAATAACCCAAAGAATTCGCCTCCGTATGCCAAATAAAAATTGAGCGAACCCCACTCGAGGTAATCACTGAGAAATAACGTGTCATTAATGACTGTTAATGATTATTAATAATTACTGCGATAATTTGTCATTTTTTACCGAAGCAGTACACGTCCAGGTCTCGATTAAAAGGCCCCCGAATTATTTTCGTCCTCCCGCGTTTCCTCCAACCCCTTTCAAATATACACTTTGCCTAAATACACCTGCACATACATATATATTTATATATACATGTACGTATTTATAATTTATGCAAAAACGAGGGCTGCCGTTGCGTTTCGAGGCGCAGTAGCTACCCCGGGGTTGCTTTCATTGACTAGCATCGTTCATCACTCTCTGTACAGACTACGCATCCGGAAGTAGCTACAAAAAGCGCCCTCCTCCCTCCATACCCGGGAGACGGCAAAAAAAATTCACTCCCTAGAAACGGAAACCACCCTTCGACGAAACCGCGCCGAGGAGTTGCAAAAATCTCGCTTTATACTATTTTTTTCCTCGCCAACCAAAATTCGGATACAAAATCCTCCCTCTCCGGGAACTTGAAAATGATGGAAATTAAACGTCTCCTAGGTACGAGGAATCCCCAGAAGGAATTTTTTAAGGAAATAATCCCTCCTGTCGGATGTCTCGACGCAACGTTAGGTCCGGCTTTTTCGCTATTAAATATCTTCTTCTTTTTTTGTCCATCCCTTAAGAGCGAGTAATTACACTATACAGAGGGAGGGAAAAACATCCCGAATTCGACAAAGTACACAGTCAGCGGGGAAAATATTTTTATACATTTTTTTTTTTGTTGCGTTTAAAGGCGTCTTTTTTTCACTATTTAAGATTAATTTTTCGAACTTCGTTTCGTTTCAGTTTGTCGGGTAACTGGGGCGTACTTTTCGGATTGCGAGGATAAGTCGCGAAATTCCCACCGTTTCGGGAGTTTAGAGGAGCTCAAAGAGAGCCGGGGACGACTAAATGCCGCCATTTTGTTGACCCGCGACTGTATATTTAGCCGAATCCGGGCATTGTTTTCTTCCCTTTCCAGTGTCTTTGTGGAAACGGCGAGAGAGCTTTGCCCGAAAGGAAAGAACGCCGCGCCATCGCGTCCTCGAATAAATATACGAACACACACGCTTAAATAACTTAAGAACACGCAAGAGAGACGCGTGCGTCTCTTCGAGGGCTGCGCCGCCATTTTCTTTTTCCTCCGTTTTCCCTCGGCTCGAGAAAAACGGCCAAAAGGGGAGCACAATGAAATGCGACGTTTTCCCAAATCCTTCGAATTTTCGCCGACTCTTTAAGATAATACGAAAGTCGCAGTCGGGAAAGTTTTCTACGATCGATTGACCCGTTTGACACCACTTTCATATCACCTTAAGGCCTCGTTCCGCCCTTTCGACCCTGAGAAAATAATTTTTTTCCCGTCGTAAAAAAATAAACCAACTATTTCTCGCCTTGCAAGAACGGCGCGGAGCTGGATCGTTTAGAAGCGCAATTTTTGGAAAAGTCCACCACGAAAAAAAAAAAAGAAGAGAAATCACGTGTACACAAAAATTCCACGAAAACCGCAAACACGGAACATCTACCAGTCGACATGTCTATTCATAGACAACATGCTTTCCGAAATTCTACATCTCTACGGGTTCGTCTTACGATCTACTAACGCTAAATATAAATAATCCCTAGGTAATAAATAATTACAACGAAAAAGAAATTAGAATAAGCGAGAAAGGGAATATCCAGCAAATCTCTACGCGTCGCGTCGCGAAGAAACGGATTGAAAATAAGAGAGAAAATGGGAGGAAATTTGCCAAAAAAAAAAAACAGCCTGCAAGGCTCGCGTAATTCCGGAATTGGACCGCCTGTGCTCCCGTTTACAAGGTGTACGAGTACGTACGCGTATGTATGCACCCGTGCATACGCATATGTGCAGCGCAGCCCGGCGAGGAGGACGAAGAAACGCTTTCGCGACGATTAAGAGAAACTTGAAAGAATCAGTCTTTTAAGTTAGTGCTGCGGCTCTGCGCAAAGAGCTCCCACCGGTCCATTTCGAGCCCCGGCTTTTCCAGTCTTGGAATTACAAAAATAGGAGACAGGATTAGCTTGGAGTGAGATTTCCCTCTCCCTTTATCCGGCCCCTCTCTCTCCCTCTCCGCTTTTCGGCCGCCGTCCCTTTTCCGTGGCTTCCGGATCTCGAATTTTGAGGCGAGGAGAAGAGAGAGAGAGAGAAAGAGAGGGTTACACGGGGCAAGGGCGAGAGGGAGGGAGAGAGCGAAGGAGATAAACAGAGTATGAGAGAGAGAGAGAGAGAGACAGAGGGCGTGAAACACGCTGAGAATTCTTGCGCAAGACGCCCCCACGTGCTTTCGGGCACGGTGTCTTCTTCAGTCAGGAACTTTGTACAAAACCGAAGAGCGAGGAGTGTTCCACCATTTTGTTTTTTCTTCCCTCACCCCTCTCGGTCTCTCCGGGCCTTGATACACCTTCTTCTTCGGCTCCACCTTTTGCGGATGCGTCGCGACTCAGGGGGAGCGGTCGAGCCGGCGACGTTCCGGACCTTAGGGCCCATTTTGAAATCTTCCGGAGTCCCGATATCAGGTCCGATTCCTCCCCCGGTTCCATTTTGGAAAGCCCCGCGATCTCGATCGGGCCCGATTCCTTCCACGGAACGAGGCCGAAATCGCCGCTCCCCCTCTCCGTCCATCCCGCAGGGTCGAGGGCCTCGTTTCGCCTCCCCCGGGCCAGCCAGCAGCCCCAGGGGGTCCTTGGATTCTCTCTTTGGTTCTCGTTCCGCGGGGCCCTGGGGCCGCCCCCCACCCCTGGGGGGCGACCGGGCCCCCGTGTCGCGACTCGCGACACCTCCGTGGGTCCAAACACCTGTCGGCCCTCTCAGCTTCGCGTTACGTGTTTCGCGGCCCGTACGCGAAGCTGACCTCACGTCATGGGTAGTCGGGGTGCATCAGGTTGTACATGACCGCGAAAATCGTGCACGCCGCGTAGACCCCCAGGGCGACCCACCAGAGGAGCTGTTCGTGCAGCCGCTGCTCGAAGTTCTTCAGCACCAGCAGGCCTATCGTCAGGCCCGCCAAGGCCCCCGTCAGGTGTGCCACGTACGACACCGGCGGGCCCATCTGCTCCGCCGCGTACCTGTCGTACACCGCGAAACCCACGTCCGCGCTCGCTGCAATCAGATAATGCAAGTGCAAGGTTAGAGAGATCTTTGTGGGAGAATGTACAAAAGTGAAACGGTCAAGAAAGGCGAATTTTAGAAAGCAGGGAAAATCTTCCAATTTCAAGCGAAAGGGAAAATTTCATGAAAATATGGAGAGGGAGGGGAGATTTATTGGCACCGATCGATCGCGTCGTTTAATAACCCCCGGGTCAGTCGATGACTGTCCCTGCAAACATTTGGGAATATATCGGGGCCAAATCGAATCTAATCAAACGGAGCGATGTCATTTCGTCGCCGAATCAAATCATCCGACGCGGCCAATATTTGCCGATCAAACAACGGGGGACTGTCAAATTATCCCGATTCGGTCAAAGACCCCTCCTGGACGGTTCGAGCCCCGATGACGTTTAATTCCCTCTCGAGGAATCGATCTCTGAAAACGTCCATCCTTCGGTTCTTCGTAGTCATTTTTCTCGTAATCGGCAAACGGACCCGCTTCCGCAATTTTTCCGATCTCGCGTCGTCGACCCCGATGCGCCGGGGGGCTGAAAAAGTCAAAAGAGAAAAAGGCGCTTCGAAGGTGTCGCCTCCTAAAGGGGTGGTGTCGCTCCTATGTACCCCTAAGTACCAAATGGACGTACATCGCGCCCTCCTTTCCTTTTTCCCTTTGCCGGGAAAACGCGCGGCGAGCTTTTCCACCCCCTCCCCTCGCTTTTCCGGACACCCCCGAAGATCGTATCTTTTTCCATTACAGGCCGGACATCGCGGGGTGACACATTTCGCGATTTATGCCGCGCGTATCTCCGGAAAATCTGAAAGCTAAGAGAGACTTTTCATCCCCCTCCCCTTAACGCCGCCTCTTTCCGTAGGCGCCGCGTTGGCGAAACGCTCCTAGCCCCATTCGCGAATAACCACCCCCGCTGTTTAATTCACCCCTTTCAAAAGGGGCTGTTAAGCGAACATGACACGAGGGCAGATAACAACGACCGATTGGCCGTCCTCTAAAATTTCGCGAAATTGCGGATTCCGCAGGGAAATTGCCTCGACCCTCCTCTTTCAGCGCGAGGAGATAATAATTACTCACGATATGAGAATTAGTCGCTGATGGAGGGGGGATGATTTTGGAAGCTGCACCCTTCGCTGTTGAACCTGGACAATTCCCCCTTGACTTGTTCCAATAATTGAAAGCACTATGTTACAATATTACACATTTTCCCACGAATTATCCGCGCTATTTTTCTTTACTGGGAATTTGGAATTTTAGAAATTCGTAGTGAATGCGAACGAAGTCAGATCCACTAATAATTACCGATCACGAAGATCCCGATAAGCCGGACTATGCCGAACTCCATGTTGTTGTAATTTAGGAGCACATTGGCAAGGTGTGCAGCCAGAAGCGCGTAAACGCCGCCGCTGGCTCCAACGAGGTAGACGTCCGTGTCGAAAACCGATGTACCTAGTGAACCTGAAAGCAGAAACCGAAGGCGACCATCAATCTCCCCTTCTCTTTGCTCCTTCGTCCTACTTTCAAAATTCCTCGAACTTTTCGTGATCTGAAACAACCGTCTATATACCCGAATCGACCTTTGCGATTTTTCCACCTCGATAAATGCGGAGAATTAAATCGAAAAAGAGGGGGGGAATGGAATACATAAACCATCATCAATCTCCGCAACTTAACATCATTAATTTCGCGTAATTCCCGTCGCTTCCCACATCCATCTTCATCTCCGGCCGCGAAAAGTATTTTCTAAACTTTTCATAATTAGCAAACTCCCTGCACGCCACTGCAATTTTTCCGGCCTGGGGGAGTCGGGATAAAAATTAGAGAAAAAAAAAATTTAAATCACTCGTATGGACGAGAGAAAAAGAACGTACAAGGGAGAAAGGTCGAATTGAACTTTTTATCGGAAGCGCAGGATGCGCGCGTAAAAATTGATCGCGATCGAAGGATAATTCCCAGCGGAAAGATTCATCGAGGACAATTTGGCAAACGCGAAAATTCGAGGGGGAAACGATCGATTTCCAAAATTCTCCCCGACCCTTCCGGATGTCATAAATAATGCACGGGGCTGATCGATGAACAGGCTATGTTGTATTGAACTGCATTGAACCCCGCGAATTGATAGCGCGTTTCGCTTCTGCGGGGTCTGATTTATTCTTTGCGAGACGGCCTATTTTGCAATCAAATAATTCCCTTTGTGTGCACGGCGGAGATTTATGTCAAGCGATCGATCGGTAAAAATGAAACGATGGGTCAGGGGTTGGACAATCGATTTGCAAGACCTTCACGTATCCCTTCCGACTGACGTATCCAATCGTGCAATTTTATTTCGACATTTTGTTTTATATTTCTCTGGTTCAATGAAATTTTTTTCAACGAACGAGTGTACCCACATTGGTAAATGCGGGTCAGGTGAAAAGAGGATAAGAGTGTCACCTAATGACTGTCGTCCGGGTCGCACAAGGTGTCCCCCTATTTGCGAAATGAGAGGGGGGCCTATCGGGGCTTCTAAGGAACCCCTCCACAAGACGATACCTTCCGCCCGGGCGGCCTAACGAAATTATCGGCGCCCTGCCCATTTTTTCCCGGCTCACCCTGCGCATTTCTACCGAAACTAAAAATACCCCTAAACTCGAACACCCTTCCTCTCCTCTTGAATTTTTCAGAATCCATCCGCCCGACTGGTGGGCGGACAAAAATTGAAAGGGCCGGCGGCGCAATGAGGACGCCTGGGGGTCCCGGCTAACGTGATTACATATTCTCTGAATTTTTTCCCGCCACCCCCTCGGTGACCACGGGCAAAATAAAAATATTCTCGACTTCCACCGCTCTTCTTACACCCGCCTGCATTTTTCGGTGCAATTCGCGTGGCCGAATACCCACTTAAAAAAAAAAAATAAATGAATACGTGTACGAGGAAAGATCCGAAAAATCATCGGTGAATTACATATCTCTTATTTCTCATTCCTCGCATCCTGATAGAGATGGCACAAACGAGCCTGAAATCGAAAAATATCCGCGATCGATGTCAAACAGCCCGCCTCCATATTCGCTCTCCTTTCCCCTCGTTACGTCCATTTAAAGGAATAAAAACATTTTCGAGGGAATGGCATCGCGCTATTTAGCCGACAGGCGGTACATCTAATGGAACGGTGCATGCACCTTTTATCCTTTAAAAGGTCAATGCGGGCTAGGTGGACAAAGAGAGAGGGAAAAAAAAAGCGAGCGAAGACACCTAACGATTCCCATCCGGGCCGTGGCGAAATGGCCGTCGAGATTAAGGCGTTTGAGAATAAAATAAAAAAGGTAAACAAAAGGAGGGCCTTTTTACCCGCTCGTGTACTACACGAAAGGGCTATTTAACGCGAGGCCACTTATCGCGAAAACCGTTTTTATCCACCGATGTGGGAAGTTACGGTCGGCTTGGCGAAGGGTTTTATTTTTTTCTCCTCTTTCCCCTTTTATCTTTTTTTTAAAGGGAAATTTTTTTCAGTTTTCCCAGTACGTAGGGCACAGGAGGAAAATCGCGCGCAGAGAAACGGTATAAAACGTCGAAAGAGAGAGAAATAGACGTAGAGAAAGAGAGAGCCGTCGACTAGAAGTCGTGACCGAGGTAGGAACGAGGCACGCGATGCGCGACGGGAAAATTGTACGTACAGTTATGCGCCAAGTGCGACGGCAAATGCAGCGCTCGTTAGCGGGAGAGAGAGGGAGCGAGAGGGGCCGAAGGGGGGCCCAGAGATAGATCCTCCTATTCCTACGCATGGTCCGCCATTATGAGTTCATTCTGCCGAGACGCGAAACGAAATAGTAAATTGGAACGAGCCGACCAGGCGGCGCCACCTGTACCGTTAAACGAGTCCGCGGATACGCCAAACGCGGGAATACTAATTAAACGGCCACTCGTTAGAGCCGTTAACAGGGGGGCTAACTTAATTAGCCTAATTACCGACACCTGTACGCGGCCCAATTGGACGGCAAACAGGAAACGCGGGCTAAGGTCGAAGTACTTTTGAGGATTTTTTTTGGAAAAAGGGTTCCCGAGGAATCAGGGTACACCGGTTAAATTTCTAACTCGAGGAGGTTCTTTAAAGAGGGGGTTCGAAGGTGGAGAGGATAATTAGCGGAGTTTGGTGGAATTAGTTGGCAAGTCGGATTAATAGTTAGCAGGCACTAATAAGCCCGGGTAAATAAAGAAATGAATAATAATAAATTAACCGCATCGTTAATTCCGAATAAAAGAAAACCCTACCGACTACCCAATGAATCCCGCCTTCCATTATTCGATACGTTGAGCAACGAAATTGCGGGTGAAAGAGACTCGCTACAGGAAAGGGCATGTGCGCAACTAGGTTGAAGTTATCACGGTTGAGTTATCAACGCGACTCCGGCAGCGGTGCAAATGCAGGCATAATTGACACCGTCATGCAACCGACCAAGCCAAGGTCCAGGGAACGAGAAAGTAAGGAACGAAAGGGCGACGAACGAGGTCCGTCGACGTGCGGAAAGACCGGAAATAGAGTCCGACTCCGTTATAACGCGTTTCCTGTCCCTCCGAGGGCCGCGTACCTCCGGGCCGACCAAACGTCCGAGATGAATGCAATTTTCCGTCCCAACGGTGCATAATACAGGGAAACCTCCTCTATGAAACTTGTCCGCGGGGGAGGCAACCTTTGTCCGGGGCTTTTTCTGATAACACGCATCACGTTATCACGGAAAATCGCGTTAATCCCGCACGTGCCCTTCTCGAAGGAGGGAGAAATTCATAAAAATTCGGGAAAAGAAAATCCACTCCTGGCTCATCAGGAAAAACCGACAGGTGCATTCTGGAGGGAGGTGAGGGAACCAGTGCGTACGTACACGCATCATGAAGTCACAGTCCGGCAATTCCTACGAATGCGTTGCCGACCGGTCGAAAGTGACCGCGAGTGTGGAAAATTTCGATGCGGGAAATCCGCTTCCGTAAAAAAAAAAAAAGGAAGAAAGAAAAAAGGTTAAACGCGCAGAAAAAAATTCTACCGGGGAAAACGACCTCGGCAAGAATAAACGAAGTCAGCTTCGGCCTCGATTGATGTTAATTCGTAATTTAATTGACTTGAAACGCGATTTTCCGATGTCTCCTGCACCGGCTTGTAAATTCCTCCCTACCATAGATGATGATCCATCCGATCCTTGAATTCATTATTCATGTGTCCCTATTTGCAACGTTTTACTTTCATGGCCGCTAATAAACCCGGTGCCTTGTTGGCCGGATCGAATTTATGCAAATCGCAATTAGTTGTACACGAGGGTAAAGGCAGGTTACATCGAGGGCAGGGGATATATAAAGCAGGGTGGGTCGACCCCCCCGTAACACCGACGACCCCTTTTCCGGTTCTCGCCATTTCTCGCGACGTTAACGGAACCCCGAGTTTGCATTCGAACGAACTCGCCGGTCTACCGAAAAAAAAAAAAATCAACTCATGACCGGTATTTCTCTTTTCTTTTTTTCTGAATTTTTATACACATTAATTAACGAGGAAAATTCTTCGAGCATCCTGGGAATTTATTTCTAAATTTTCTGACCCGAAAAAAATGATCTCGTTAATTTTTCACATTTCTCCACGAGGGTTTACGAATTATTTTTTCGAATTCCATGGCTTGTCATAGAGTCAGAAAGAGAGAAGGAGAGTTTTCTGGAGGGCGAGTCCCATCTCGGGGGAGATTTTTCGGAATTAATTTCCGGGACATGCGTCTCCCTAGGGACGCGCCAAGTCCCTGGCCATGTTGGCTTGGATTCTGCATAATTAAGGAGTTTTCGCGTTTACTCACCAGCCAGTACACCAGCCATGTAGACTGCGGCGATCCTCAGGCTCCCGTGCACCATTTCCAGGGGGAGGCCGACGATCACCTGAACCCCCAGGTTAAACAGCAAGTGGAGCCACCTGCAACGTTCCAAAACCCGACAACGGTTAAGCCGAAAATTCGTGACGAGATATTCCGAAAGTCCCCTTAACTAATTTAACCGTAAATCAGTTTTTTTTATTCCACTCCCCACGTGGAATTATTTTGTACGCCGACCTGATAGTAGAGCGATCTACAAATCGTCCCGTCGATTACTGCCAATTCATATCTAAAAAAAAATCTGCCCTTTACGAGACGACCCGGTGTTCCCTCTTTCGATGAGGATCATGAAAATGTCCCGGGAATTTCCTTGAATTACGTCGAGGCCACCCCGGAGGAGGCGGTTCCAGGAAGGAGGGCAATCCCCGAGAGCGAGGATTCCGATTTTAATACCCCGGGACAAGAGTGGGCGGCAGCGCGCAAAGAAAATAATCCCGGCCAGCATTTTAGTCCGTCGGGGCAATTATTCATCGAATATAAGTACCGGGGTACCGGGGTACCGGCGAGGTAAACGCCCGCGAGGCGAAAGAAAGGGGAGACATCGCGTGATTCGCGAGCTTTACGGCCGTCCCGGGGCGGAAAGCCGCGACTCTTTCCTCCGCCGTTCCCCCTCGAAACCGCGCAAGAAGCCTCGATAATTGCGTCGAATAACCGCGGAAGGCGGTGCCCCTGGGTGCTTTAATTAGGAATAACTCATTATAATATCGGCCCGTCGCCGGGAGATATGATAATCGGGCGCGCGACTCTTGCGGAAACCGCTGCGGAATCGTGGGAAGCCCCCTCGAAGAGCGCCGCGTTGGCCGGACCGACGACCCGTGAATATCGCGCCCGAGAATTCGCCGATTCTTTCCCCTAATTCGACTAATTGTGCGCGTTATCGCGACCCCCGAGGCCTAGGAAGCTTCCCGCTGGCCGATTCCGCACGATTCCGCACGATTCCGCACGATTCCGCCCGTGGAGCGTGGAACCAGGCCCCGGAATCCTGGCACTCGCCCGATTCCTGGAAATGCTAGTTCAAATATTCCTAGTTCCCATTGACAAGAAATTCCATTTTGAATTACCAGAAATGGCATTAACCGGATCAGATAATAACTTATTAGAAATATCCGGTACTCTCGAATATAAAAATGGTAAGGTCTAATCTAGCTGAAACTAGCGGAATTCTGCTTCTCTCAACGGGACCATCTTTTTTTTTTTTAGTGAATTATCTGGAGAACAGGGACTCCACCTTTAAAAATTCCCCAGGACGTTCCATTTCGCTGATCTCGGGAATCCTGATTTACGCGACCGAAGGAATTTAATCTTTCACCGGCGGCGCTTAAATTCGCGGAAAACGTGCTCTTCTCCCGTGTCTTTTTTTTTCCTACCCTTTTCTCTCCTCTCTATTTTTTCCTTCTTTCGTCGCGCGACGCGGGCTTTAATTAACCATTCCGCAGTAATTAAATGGAAAACACGATTTCGCGTGCTCGGTCTGAGGGATAAATAATAAAGTTCCGGTTTTCCAGGAACATAGGAAAACCGATTAATGCAAGCTTTACGCGAATACTTGTCATTCGATAGTGTATCTCGAACACCGTCGATCGATTCACCATCGACAATTAATACTTCATGACCTGGCAAATAATCTGCACGTTTCTATTGCCGTATGCAAGATTCACAAGCATTGGACCGGCCCTCGATATTTACTCGCCGGTTAATGTAGTATGCGCATTATAAATCCGAACGACTGAAAAAATTACGCGGTGGAAAAATTAGAAATTAAAAATGTTGCATTTTAAAACCGGAGGAATGAAAAAAAATTGCAAAAATGATACAGCCAACCGTCGACGGCAGGTCAAAGTTGGAACGAAAAAAGGAAACACAAGGGGGAACCTTTTACACCCAGGACGAGACACGTCACGAGCACACTCGGGGGTGAAACTGACCCCGAAAGGGGGGTCGGGGCTCGATTGCGAAAATTTCTAGTTTCGCGGAATGACGAATGGGAGGGAACGCGAGATAGAGGGGAAGGGAAACGCGAGCAAGAAATAATCAAAACAGAGGGAAAAAGGGACCCGGAGGGGAGGGGCCGGAGATAAAAAGTTTTCAAATTACAAGTTTTCAACCTCTAACGCACGAAGGTAGTTAACATGGCGGCCGCATCGCCGGGAAACCCGACCTAACGGTTTAAGTTAAAAGAGTTTAGGAAACAGGGCAATTTACATCGACCGTCGATCTGGATATCGCGAGGGAGGGAAACGTCGAATCCGCGAAGACGGCAAAGGAAAACCTCCTATTATCTTTTTTTAACCTAATAAAATAACTCGACTTACCCCGCGTGTAGGAACATGTAGAAGGCAAACCTCCAGAGCTCGAGGCGTTTGTCAGGCCGGTATATGAAGACACTGTCGATGGGCACCGGTCCCGATGGGTTGACCTCGCCCTTGGCCACCGTGTAATACGTGAAGAAGCCCAGCTGCAATTCCAAGGAAAGGGAAGGGTAAGAATAACAGAGTGGAGCGGAAACTCCGCGTCGAAATCCAAGGCTGCGGTTGCGCGCGTCCTGTTAGTCCGCGAATAAAATTACACGTCCGGGTTAACTGTACCGCACGTGAACATGTGCGTGCCCGCGTATTATCGCGTGCACCCAAATGAATTCCGCGACATACGGTAAACCGTCGGTTAACAGTAAAACGAGGTGAAAAGCGCGGTACCGACACCTCCCGATTGCTAACGAACGATCCCATAACACCCCTTTTCCAATTTTCCGCGCCCCGCGTGACGATTTTCACAATATTTCGGGATTTCCGAAAATATCGAAAAATCGTTCAATTCGAATAAATTCGTAATATCCGTCCGTCGATTTTCGGGATTACTTCCGATATCTCGGTCTCTCGGTTGGCCGTCATGGGAGGCCGATTTCTCCTTCTTTCGGGGTAAAGGACTAATTATCCGCTCTCGGTAAATCCACCTTTCTCTTATCAGCGAGGCCGCGTTTCTAAAGGGAGCCGCTTGTTCCGCTCCGATTGAATAATATTCCCCGAGGCTCGGTACCCGACTGCGAATATCAAGCGTGTAAAAATAACGCATTCGGAATCGAGGGCAGGTATTCGCGGCATTATTCGCCGTATAATTCCGCCATGGTGAAATCGAGTCCGCGGAGGGTGGCCACCCCCCGAAAACCGCGGCATTCACCCGGGCCGCCATCTTGGATATCACTCTCTCGACCAGCGGCCCTGTACATATACGTATAATCCGCAAAAACGGGGGTGCGACCATTTCCTCCCCCGCATGTAGACGTCGCACGGGACAAACCATTTAATCCCCATCCCTTCCACCCCCGTGGGAGCCGGCCATTGCTCACCCCTCTTATTCAATCGTGACGGCGACCCGGTCTTGCGAGAGGGGGATGATGACCGCGGTCGAGCTGGAATTTGTTAATTAAATGGCCGAGTGACAAACGCAACCAGGGTGAACAAGAGGGGGCGGGCGATGTCGAGGTGGGAGAAGCTTTAGGGGGTTTAGGGATGAAAGCGATGCCAAGGATTCCCTCACGCACTTTCCCCCCCTCCGACCCATGAAAAGAGGGGGAGGTGCTCGACATTATTCCCCGTTTACCCCCTCATATACCGACGATATTGCGTTCGACTGATTTATATTCGCGCCGCCTACTTCCGAAACGTTTACTCGTTTCGCTGCCCGATCTCCGCTTCTTCCCGAAGAGGAAGAGAAAAATAAAGAACCGAGCAAAGAAATCACGGCCTAGAATCAGGGGGTGAATCTATTTTTTCCTTCAAGCCCGGAAACGACGAATCGACGAAGAGACCCTCTCCCTGCCGCAGATCGGAGATTCGAATTTTCCTCCCTGAGCGCAAAAATTCGACCCAGGCACGGCTGGGCTTATCGGGGGGAAATTTCGCTCTGCTCTCGGGAGTCCGGGCAAAAAAGAGAGCGGAGATGAAACCGAAGGGAGAGAGGGGGAAGAAAAAAAAGATAAAACGGAACGAATCGACATCCCGTGGGAACGGCGACTCGATTCGACAGCAGTTTCTTTCGCTGCCGGATTAGCCGGAGAGAATGAGCGGATACATTAATGCTGAAAGCGGGAAAGAGCGGGAGGGAGGTACTCCCGTTCCGTTTTAACGCTCCGGAACTTCCGTATATATGTGCACACACTATATAATACAGAGAATCGCCGGCCATTTTGTACATAAGACGACCCTGCGTGCACGGTTTGCTCGATGCTCGAGGCGACAAGTAGCGCGAGGCGCGAATGGCCGGCCGAGCGCGACACGAGAAAAATCGGGGAAAAATATTTATAACGCGAGGAGATCCAAGAGACCCTTCCCCCGCGATATCTTAATGATACCAACATGACGCAGATGTGTCCTGATTTATGCCGAGGGACTGGGAGGACGTTTACTCTCTTTCCTAGGCCCTAAGTAGTGAAGGCGAGGTGCGGTCAGCCACTGGAGGAAGTCGAGCGAAATGCGAAATTATTAATTGGGTAAAAATGGGAGGCTGGCTAAATTTCGAGATAACGTTTGCGCCAATTTGCGGAAGTACGGGCTCTTCGGAACTTCACCCCGAATTTTCTCCAATTCGGAATAGTCTTCGGCGTTTCACGCAGGAACGTCTCGCTCCGAACCTAGGGGAGTCGTTTTTCCGGCCAAACGAGGTAATTCGGGTCGGGATATCTCTTCTCTCGGCCCTCTCATGACGCATCGCCCCGAGAAACAGATAAATCGCGCCCTGAAGAAGGGATCCTCCGGAATCCCTGATTAAATGAAGAGAAACGACCGCAGGAAGGGGAGCGGGCGGGGGATTTAGGCCGGTTTTTATTGGAAAAAATCGCGCGAGTTCCCGCGGCGGCCGCAACAATGAAAAACCGCAGTGCGGTAAGTCTCGTTCGAGCCGGGGAAAAAAAAAAGAAGGAAAAATCTAGAGGGAACGGGGTGGGGGAAAAAAAAGGATTTCCAGCAGTTTGGCACGTGTATTCCCGGGCGGGAATGCCGCGTTAATTGTGCGAGGACCGGACGATCCCATTAAGGGGAAGTAAAGGCCCGAAGCGCGAATTGCCGGAATTTCTGCAGAAGCAATTATGCGCCCCCGTTGGCGCCGACAGTAATGGAGACATTGTCGAGAACGATGGCCCGGGCTTTAATTATCGGGCGACGAGGAATTTTTTTTTACTGGGCCGATTAAAGTCATCTCTTGGCAGGAAAAACAACGGAAAACCGGAAAAGACCCACTTGAGACGATTTATTTTCTTTTTTATCCAGCGAGGACATTTTCTTTACAACGATCGGAGTAAGCAAGGGAGGAAAATGTGTTCTTTGTAGTACCTGGACATTTTTTTTTTTTTTCATTTTCTTGCAACTTTTCTGACCTTCTATCGAATATGACGACAGGGAGGATCGCCACACCCGGGCACCCGCGTGTTCCCGTGTTGGCACCTCGTAAATCGTGAAAAGCAAGTAAGTATCGGAGGGGGGCAATACTAATAGGACCGAAACACGGCACTTGATCGATATACCGAGAGCAGAGATGGTCTGCAATTTACCGCCAATAACGGTCTTCAAGGGGAACGGAAAAAGGGGCGATGAAAAGTAAACGACGCGCCCGTCTTGCTCTTGGGCCGACCGCCTTCGACAGACGCGACTTGCAGGTAAACGGTGCGTGGGCCGGGAAAATGCATCCGTGGAAAATTGTCGGAAATAATGTGTGGAACAATTTTTGTTTGGGGCGTTTTTTAATTAGACGCGTAGTTTGATTGGAAATGGCGGATCGATGGGTCGGGGTGCGGGCCTAACGCGTGAGTGGTCGGGGAAGTCTGAATGATAATTAATTTCTGTTAATTAACAGCGGCGGTTTCGGGGGTCATTAACACGCCGGGTTGTCGGAGTGCACCGGGGTGTGTGTATGTGCATCTGGACTGGAAAATAAAACCAACCCCCCTCCTCCTGACAGATAAATCAATCCCCTCGGACGCGGGACACTGTCGCGATTTATCACGGCCCTGAATACAATTTATTTGGATCAAAGGATCTTCTTTCTCCAGATAAATTTCATTTGGTCGTGATAAATCGCAACACTGCCGTCCGCCATGGGGATTGATTTATTCGGGGTCCAGGGGGTGTGATTCTTTTTTTTCACCCCTTAATTTTCTCACCGCGATAATCTCACGTGAAAAATTCGGAGGGGGTGGAATACGGTACCCTTCATTTTTTCTTCTCTACGACAATTTATTTTAAAGACGTGCAATGTAATAATCGTGAATAAGCGCCCACGTGGTACGAGATATCAAAACGAAAGAAAAAAAATTAGAACGAGAGAGAGAAAATTCTCATATACGATCTCCCCCTCTCTCTGTCAAGGGGATTAATTTACGCGAAACAAAGAATTCTCTTCCCCTTTTCGGGCCAAAGGTCGGGTCCTGCGCATCCCCGAGTTTTTACACGGTTTCATGAAAAATACATGTAATCTCCTCTCTGAAACTCAAAGTCGCGGTATATCGTCGCTTTTCCCGGAAAAAAGAAGTCGGAAAAATCGCCAGGTCGCCCACGTCCCCGCATCGGTACACCTTTTCGTTCTGTGTAACTATTCCCGGGTAAATAAAATAAAATAAAATAAAACAGAATAAAATGAAATCCTGCGAACGTTTTACCATTTACATCGCATCGTGAAAGGAGAGAAAGAACCGTCCAGGGGACGATCGTCGTTTCTCTTCATCTAAAAATAAAAGTAAAAAAAAAATACCAGGCCGCGTTAATACGTCGCGTTATTCGCATAATGGCCCCCGCGAGAGGGTGCGAAAATGATTCGCGTTCTTTTTCGCGAAGGGAGAAAAAGAGCCTCCCAGGGAGCGATCGCCGTTTCCTTTGAACTAAAAATAAGGGAGAAAAAAAATATCAGGCCGTCGTAAAAACGGCGTGCGTTAATACGTCGCGTTATTCGAGTAATGGTCCCCCGAGAGGGTGCGGAAACTGCGCCCGATCGCAGGAGGGGAGAAACAAGAGCCGATGCCGGCAAAGGTGGCAGTGAAATTACGAAAAGATGGAGGCCCCATTTTATTGGGGCCATTGCGCTCGGAGGGTTGTCGTAAACGTATAAAACCGATACTACCCCCTCGCCCCCTCGTGAGCACCCCTTAACCCTTTTTCTTCCTCCATCTTTCTTCCGAGGCTCGAGCAGTCGTTAAGCGGTGTAACCCCCGACCTCCACCCCCGGGATTGTCATCTCTTACGGTTTTTCGACGCGAATTTATCTCACGGGTGTAAACTCCCCGAAATAGCATCGCCTTGTCTTTTCGCGATTCTCAAAACATGCGATAAAAAAAATATATATTTATAATAAATAAACAGCGCGTTGAAAAATATTAAAGCGAGCGTCATGAAATTGTAAAACATTGAAGTTACATAAGGCCCTGTAAATAATTCCAGGATTTATTCCCTTGGATATCCCAGGGGATGGCAA